TGCCCAAAAAATTATAAAAAATGAAAAATTGTGGGGAAGAGAAAAAGGGAGGAAAAAAGGAGAAAAATAAAAAAAATATATCATATGAAGTCAAGGAATGTCCCAAAGTTCATAATAGTTAGTCCTAGTGTGTACACACTCCTAATACAACAAAAGGCCAAAAAAAGAAAAATGAAAAACCAAGAGCTCTTTATCCATATGCTTTGATAAAGGGGTAATCCCCAAAAGGACAGCTCTCACCCGGTTGAAGTTCCTTAGCTGTATGTAAATAGATGGAACTATGATATTGGTAATGCTTGTGCAGAGCTGTAGTATACGAGATGTCTGTGACATGAAGTTGTTCGTGAAGGATGCCTGGGCTGCATGCTCGGGACCTTGTTTGTCTCTTCCACAAATTTACAAAGGAGAGAAGAGAACAAACAAAAAAATCTACGTGCAGTATTTCTGGCAATAATATAGTAGATTAGCCAAAAATGTAATATTAGTAGGAGGGTGACAGTGTGTGAAAGCATGACAGTAGATATGTGTGATTTGTTTTGTTCCGAATGTACATTCGTACGAATTTCATGCCATTCAGATGCTTACGAATGTCCGAAGTGAAGAAGTTCTGAAGTGACGAAGTTCGATAGTTTGGAAGTACCAAAGCTCTGAAGCGCCGAAGTTTGTTAGTTTGGAAATGCCGAAGCTCTGAAGCGCCAAAGTGATTCGAATTTCTGAAACGTTGCAAAACGAGAGAGAGGGAGTAAAAATTACGTGAATTATGACAGGAATCTTGACCAATAAATTAATTCCTTTTGTGCAATGTAATGCTTGCTTGCTCAATCCGGTTGAACTATTCCCTGTTCAATGAAATGGGCACATTTTTGTTATTGATGTTAGAGGACAGCCACTTAATGGTGATTTTGTCACTGACACTTGGCCAATGAAGGCACACAGATATAAATCAGGCTGTCAGAGTGTTGGCTTGCATTCATGTGACGTAGACTTGTGCAATCCGTTCCGTTCCGAATGTACATTCATACTTTACTAACTAGAGTGCCGCCTCTGGCAATAATGCACTATTGTATATTGTATAACCCCCATATTTTTAAAGGAAAAGTGTATAATTTTTCATCTCTGCACTCACACTTTATGTTTGATGTGGGGGAACCTATCACTTAAACATTGAGTTCTTGTTTTTGCATCTTCAGTAACTGTAACCTCTCTCAGCTAGACAATGCAAATGCTGGGATTTACAATTCACATTATCTTCAGTGAAACTGCACCCTTTAACCCTAGCCTCCACACTGTATACCTAGGTATCATCTAAACTACACCTTTAATGAACTCTAATGAGTCCTGAACCATAAATAAAGGAACACTAAGGACCTGGTAAACATTAAGGACCAAAGCATCCACTTACGCACCTGAATGCTAAGGATACCCTAACCATGAATATTGGGACCGTTATGGCGCTGCAATCATCCTGCCCCCTTTTAAATACAACTGTTACTCATGTGACCCTTGACACTTTGAACTCTCCATTTTGATGACACTATTTTAATGGCTATTGCATAAATCAATCAAAAGTTTCAAAAGCAGTAGGTATGGCTCTAAAGACACCCACTATTTCATTCATCCACGACTTAATTTCACATTGGGTATTTAGACTGTGGTTAAACAAATTCAACCAGGTATATTTTAAAATTTGCACATTCTATGGTCTATATGTTATTTTTGTTGCAAGATTTATAATTTCTAGTTTATTATCTTAGACACTAGATGGGGCAAGTGGTCATTTTATCAGCTCACATGTGATGCTTTTAGATGTTTTGTCCTTTGCTTTGGACCAACATTCAGTGTCAAACACAGAGTAACAAACAATAGGAAGCAACTAATGCTGTAAACTGTTTGGTGTTGTATCAATTTTCAGCATTAAGAACACAATGGGAGAAAAATACAGACTATATGAACAAAGAACTTTTCAAGCTGTGTTTAATGGTTTCATTGGCCTTTAGGCTCAGGGTTGAGAGCAGCACACAATATTCCATTTGTTTTTCTTGATATGTGGCACAATAATATATTTCAGAGACTCGGAATGCTTTGTGTTCTCATAACAGAAAATCAAAATAAACTTTTATTTTCTAAAGAACATGACATAGTATTTATGAGCAGATTGGTTTAACAGTTTGTGTATCTATTTCAAGTATTGTAGAGCCCATCCACCTCCCTGATAATATTCACTTAACAACTTGCTGGCTATTACATAGCAGAATCAATTATGAGACGTTTCCTAAGACGGAAAAAACCCATAAACTGGAAGTTCGATATATACATAAGGCAAAATTGTAATGGCTCTGCAGTCATAGAATGTAAAAAGGTATAGCTTAAAAGGACACTTACAGCTAAGAGGATGGAGGTTTAGGGTTGCAGTATCATTTTTGTGTACCAGGGGTTAAGGGTTGGGGAGAATTAAGGGAATATGGATTTAGGGGTATTTGCCTACAAATGAACTGCGAGTCCTTTCATTGGCATCCAGACTTTACTTTAGCCATTAACATCACTCACTCAAGGAGCATTTAGGGTTAGGGGGCATAGGATTAAAGGGCTCAGGATCTTTAAGGTGCTATGGTTTGTAACTTCTGTCATCTCATCTCAGCTTCATTTAAATGCTAGTCCAAGGCTTTCCTACCACTAAACATTCCCTAGCTCTTACACAAAGGAGATTTAGGAATATGGGGACAGGGTTTAGATTAAGATTGAAAAAAGTTCAGCCTTTAAAAAACATCTTTGTATACCGTTGATCTAAAAAACCGCAGAAAAACACAATATGAAGCGATAGCCAATTATGCCACAAAAGAGGGGGAAAAATCCTCCTTGGTTCCATAATAACTATCAGATTTCTACTTTGGATCAACAACCTATATACATCTTAAGTATATCCTTGAATATTCTGGTTTTCACCAAAAATCATACCCAAATTTTTTCTAAATATCTACAGCATCTGATAAGACATCCTGTAGAGTTCCACTGTAAAGAATCCTTTTTCAGCAGTAAGCGAAAACGCCTTTCCTCAATGGATGACAAGACAAATAGCTCAGCACATAGTGTTTGTACTGACACTGAATGTATTTATTTGCATAGTGCTATCATATCCCATTTGAGAGGTATTTTGTGTAAAGAAAAAAAAATACAGTCTTTCTAGTCTTTCTACATAACTAATGTTTTCCATGACCTTTTTAATTTTGTAGATTTTCTTTGCACTTTTCTGGTTCTAAATTATCTTTCTGCAGTGGCAGCTCTATGAACAATATATGGGGGGCACATAAAATACCACAGTTAAAACATGTTGCCACTGGCTGTCTGATGCCAGCATGCTATGTGTGCTTGCCTGAGACACCAAACTGGCCAAGAAGTACATTAGCCACTCAATTATTGTTCTGAGCTGGCTAATGACACCTCTTAATTGTGATCAATTGTTAAGTATATAACTATATATAATTAATGTGTATCTGTATGTGGCATTGCCATATATAAGGACACCAAATAAGGGAGATGTATGTTAAACAGTACTCTAATTTGGTATCCTAAAATATGGAAATCTTACATAAGGGGACCATTGGGTATTATTGTGTCACTTTACTACATGCCAAAATTCTTAACTAAAGTTGATATTTTTAAAGTAAATCAAAGTAGAGAGTAGAAATCACTTCTGTTCAAATACAGTTTATCTCCTTAAGGTAAACCTTTACCCAGAGACTACAGCTCTCAAAAAACTTTGATTTTAAAGAGATGATAATAGGGATGTGCATGGGCAAAAAAATTGGTTCAGTTCGCAAATTCATGTAAGGAAAAAAATTTGTCTGCTTCGGCATTTCGGACCAATGTCATTCGGTTTGGCACTTTCGAACTATAGGGCTCCCAGTGCCACCACAACCCATTACACATCTGTAGGGCTCCCAGTGCAAGGATTACCACCACAATTACTTACACATCTATAGGCTGCCAGTGCCAGTACTGCCACCACAACCACTTACACATCTATAGGGCTTCCAGAGCCCAGACTGCCACCACAATTTGTACATCTGTAGGGCTCCCAGTGCCAGGATTGCCACCACAACCAGTTACATACCTATAGGACTCCTAGTGCCCGGACTGCCACCACAACCACTTACACATCTATAGGGCTCACAGTGCCAGGAATTAGCTTATTGGTAATGTCATCATTCACGTAATTTTCCCTCCCTCTCTCTTGTTTTGCCACTTTTCAGAAATTCAAAGCACTTCAGCAATTCTGCCAATGTTATTCGGTTCGGCACTTCGGACATTCGTAAACATCCGAATGTCCGAATTTCACGAAATTCGTCCAAATGTACATTTGGAACGAATTGAATTGCACATGTCTAGAATATAATCTCTTTCATTTGGCCGAGATACGCTAGTTAAATATTGTATCTATTATTGTTATTGTGACACTAACAGCTTTATTACAATCATACAATATCCTCAACATATTAACCACAATTTATAGGATATAGGCTTAAGATTTTTGGGCGACAAAGGCCAAATATATTTGGTGCAAACAAATATATAACTAGGGGCAAAGTATGCTAGAACAGTATTAATACACTTTAGTAAATATCCCCCCCTTTACTCTTTTCTACCATCTTCATAACAAACACATGATTTAGAGTGTGAAGTGAGTGGGTGCAAAGGAATGCAAATAATAGCCATTCCAAAGCCCTCAGTTAAATGAGTATGAGTATGATAATCAGTATTATATACCTTTTAAATAAAACAAAAATGAAAAAATAAAGATGTACAGAACACAAGATCAAAGCACACAACTAAAGAAAAAAAACATCAATCCTAAAAAGTAACATTTTTGAGAGTGCCATATTTTCTTACTTTTAAGTAGTGATGTCCCGAACGGTTCGCCGAACGGTTCGCGAACAGTTTGCCACGAATGGTTCGCCGTGGACTCATCATTGAGTAAACTTTGACCCTGTACCTCACAGTCAGCAGACACATTCCAGCCAATCAGCAGCAGACCCTCCCTCCCAGACCCTCCCACCAGCATCCATGGACAGCATCCATTTTACATTCATTGTGAAGCTTCATTCTTAGTGAGCTGTCCAGGAGGTGGGAGGGTCTGGGAGGGAGGGTCTGCTGCTGATTGACTGGAATGTGTCTGCTGACTGTGAGGTACAGAGTCAAAGTTTACTCAATGATGAGTCCGAGGCGAACCGTTCGCGAACCGTTCGGCGAACCGTTCGGGACATCACTACTTTTAAGTCTATATGTATCTTGTTAATGTCTTTTCTTACCTATACTTGTGTTCTATAATATTTTTATTCTACATAGCCTTGCTATATGTTAAAATTACATGCCAAATGCTGAGGTTGATTTTTATTTTTCTTCCACTTTAATTCAATGCATTAGTTTTCATTATACATTTGTGATAAGTGCAGTTTGGATTCAATACCAACTGCTGATCACACATGTTCCAATTTCACTTCATTTACCAATAATATTATTATTACTGGCATTTATAGCGCCAACTTATTCCTCAGCGCTTATATAAATGGGGAAGAAAATTACATTAAAAAAAGATGCAATCATAATAATAATAATAATAATACTCAGATAGGAAATGTTTAAAGTTCATATCACTTACTTATTGATTTAGATAATTTTTTTTTGGACAAAATAATTGTCTTTGAGAATCTCTTATAATCATTTAATTTACCTAAAGCTATTTGATTTGGCTTTGGTACAAGCCAGCTATATGAAGAATCAAGTATTTACCCAGCCTGTAGACTTATCTGTGTCCTGTGGAGAAGTTGGTCCTGGGGGTTAAAGTTCAGGTCATAAGTGAGACAACGTCTGGGAGACTGATTTGCAGAAACTAGTACAATGATGGCTGGACTTTGGATTAATAGAGGAATGCATATTTTCTGTGAACTATTTAATCTTTACAAAGACTGGCATTCACCCCAAAATTTACAAAAATGCTCTAGATAATCAGCAGCATCAAAAGGTCTTAGCTTATTTTTCTGTGTTGACTTGTCAGTTGTTGATAGATCATTCGCTTTTTGTTTTGTGATTGATCAAAATGGAACTTCAAATGTTATGCTGTGATGGGTAACAATGCAACTCACACTGTGCACTACTGAGTTGTTAAAATAGCACTGAAAAATGACAGTACTTTGATCTAATAAGGCATGCTTACCTACAATGGTATGTCTGTATACATTCTAAAACACCCTTTTAAAATTGTTTGAAATGACAACATCAAGGTTTCATCTCTTTAGGTCTACAGATTTGTTCATTGTATAACTTCTAATTAATGTAATGTTTATCATTATATGGAAAAAAAGATAACACCCGTGTCTCATTATTTTAAATCTAAAGCTTTTTAAAAATTATATAGACTTACAAGCAATATAAGCAACTAAATAAAGTTTGCAAAAATATTTATCATTATACAAGAAGTGTTAAAAACACAAACGATAAATTTAGTTGTGCAAAGCAAAGTGAAAATGTATCCATTTTAGAGAAATTCCAAGCACCATGTACCACCACAGAATATGAAAATGTATCCATTTTAGAGAAATTCCAAGCACCGTGTACCACCACAGAATATGAAAATGTATCCATTTTAGAGAAATTCCAAGCACCGTGTACCATCACAGAATATGAAAAGGTATCCATTTTAAAGAAATTCCAAGCACCATGTACCACCACAGAATATGAAAAGGTATCCATTTTAAAGAAATTCCAAGCACCATGTACCACCACAGAATATGAAAAGGTATCCATTTTAGAGATATTCTGTTCCCCATAACAACATGCTCTTAATTTGGGTTTTGGTATGTCCTGGCACACAGTTGCTTATAACTGTAACTATTTGCTAGTAGCCCATGCCTCACTCACATTAGTAATAAGTAATAGGTAAACTAACAGGTAAAAGCTAACCTTCCCCTTGGCTCTACATGTGCTACACAGTTCCCTCTTCCTGTGAGAGATACTTTGACAGAAGTCTTATTTGATACTTATTTGAAGTTGTGCCTATAGCTGTATTGAGAAAAATACCCCAATGCTCTTCTTGAAAGCATTCCTGAAAACACATTTGGTGAAATATGGGAGATAGCAGTGATACAAATGTTAAGAAGAATGTCCCTTGAAAGTTAATGAAATATTACTTAGGGGGTTATTAATTAACTGCTGAATGCCACCACTCCTATTTATGAAAAATAATATGATATCATCCAGGGGCATTTGGACATCCAGGGCCAAATTAACATAGGGGTTAATGGAGCTGTAGCTCATGCCCATGGAATAGGCTTACTGATTTAAAAAAAAAAATGTTTCTATTTTCTTTTTTTTTTACTAATCTTCACATGCTCTTGCTTTGTGCAGAGGGAATTAAAAATAGGAACTTAAGAGGAATGAAGGGGATCAAAACTTATTTAGACTGGTTGACCATAAACTAGTTAAGGTAAAGCTAACTTTGCGCACTGTGCAAATGCTCTTTCTGTTTCGGTCTCTCTAACAATGTGGTATGTTCCCTTTCCGTTACACTCACTACATCCATATTCTCTGTCCCAGACTGCATGCCAGGAGCTTTTGCCTGCTAGGATGAAGGAAAAGAGAGGAGTGGACAAGTGAGTGCTGGGGAACACCAGTAATCTGTTCCCAGAAAGCATAGAGCGATTGCATCATTTGACGTGTTTGCACCAAGCACAGGGCACAGAAACAGCTCTGTCTGCCTATTTCACTCTTAGTTGGCCGGCCTGCATGATTGACAGGCAGCCTGGCATTCATTCATGCCAAACTGACATTCCAATTCTTAAGGCAGACCTGCCCCCCTTCTAAAAGATTCTATAATTAGGCCAATCATAATAGTCACCACCAGGGTCTTAATCTGGTCCCATGGACTGAAATCCACACACTGACAACAAGATATCCGGAAGTCCAGATTTTGAATAACCGCATCCAAACAAACTTAATTCAGCTCAGATTTCATCCTGTGTGAATGGCACTGAATGACTAAAATCCAGAACCAAATGATAGAAATAGGCAACCAAATGTTAATAAGAACAAATTAGAAAAGCTAGATTTCCAACTCAAACAAGCTTTTGCAAAATTTAAAGTATGATGAAGTGCTGATGAGGCATGAAATGAGTTCGAGCCTCTTGTCTGTGCGTCGCCAAGCTGTGTCCCAGCTGAATGTCCTAAATAAGAAATAAAGGTATTTTAAAGCAGCACCGTCATGCCCAAAACTACTTTAGTTCTTTAAAGAGCATCTGGCATTTTATCTATACATTGTGCTAGCAGTTATGTAAGCAAATGTATGAACTGGGAGAAAAAACTATTTAAAAACAGGATTTTCTCTAACCTGTCAATCAATTCTTTGGCATAGACTCTATGATGAAACATTGATTGATAAAGGAGATAGGAAGAGACCTCCTATAGGCAGTCCTTCTGCTTTCCACCCATAACAACCACAGCAACTTCTCTGTGGTTGCTATGGTAACTATCTAGCCGAATCTGCTAGTGTTGGCTAGGGAGTAAAAGGAATACAGGGAGTGCCGTTAATCTGTTCACATTCCAGCATGTTGGCAACAAAGCCATCATGTTTGCGTCATAGGAGAGGTTTGTCCTGCTTGGGGAAGTGTCATCTAGGATGGAAATGTGAAGAGAGCAGGAGGCACAAGGGTAACCGGAGGTGGGTTTAACAAAAGTATAAAATTCACTTTTAACATGAAATTGCAGTTTGGGGAGCAGAGGCTAAGAGGGTGCAGGGTCCCTTTCAACTTTATAAAAGCTGGTTATATTTAGAAACATCCATTTTTTTAATTTTTTTTTTTGATAATGAATGTAGACTCAGGAACTGAACCTGCTAACTACTCATAGTTGAACTGTTTTTCTCCAACACTGCAGTTTTAATATGAACGGAACTCTAGCAGACATAAATATTTTTCAACCAAATGTTCATAATCTATAATAATTCATCAGAACGGGACACAATTAGTCTGCAAAATCGGATCAGCCGAAATTCAGTTGAACGAAATTTGTAGAAAGTGACAATTACTAATGCAAGCTAACACATTGCAAATATCGTTAGCTCCACTTATGTAAAAAAATACAAGAACGGTTTATTCCATAGAAGGGTACAATAATGATCAAAATTGTTTAATTATTTTTTTTATGTTTTAGCCCTTTGCCTACTGACTCTTTGTGCTCAAATAGTGTGTATTCCTACAGGTTCGTCTGTTAATAGCAGGTGAATTTATTTAGCAAATTTGCCTTCTACTAGACTTGATCATAGTAAATTTGAATTTGAAATTTTGGTATTTGGTTAACATGAGCATGTTTTACTTTATATTTATACAGAGAGACATACGCAACGACACACACAGACACAAACGTACAACCAGATGTACACAGAGTCATGCAGAAAGAGTGAGTTTGGCATATCAGGATTTCCTTGCTCATGTACTCAATGTAATATTGTCCATGCTTAAATGTTTAGTTTAAGATTATGTTAGAACATGTTGAGTACTAGCCAAGGGTTTTCTATTTAAATGTTAAATTCAAAAAGTAAAGTTTTAATCCGATTATTACTAATTGAGTGAAGGCTGCAGGCTTTAAGTTATGTGGAGTTCAAATCAAAATTAGCATCAGAAAAGCACCATGAAGCTAAATATTAGTGTTTAACTCCTAAGAAAATATGTATTTTCCATATAAACAGACAAACAACCCTTAAGGGAGTATGTCACTTCACTCATTTTTAATTGTATATTTAGTGATTTATTTGTAATGTTTTTTTAGATTATATATGTCCTATATTTAATAAGTATGTTTTTGTGAGGTGTAAAACATGAAATTAATTATAGAAAATCACACCTCTTTATCTTGCAACTGGGAGCCTCCATCTTAGATTCCTGCCAATCACTCTTATGAGCTCTGACCTTGTCCGTCATCATAGAGCAATAATAGAAAGAAGGGGAGAAATTAAACAATTTTTCTATTTCCTCCTCATTTGCAATGCGTGCCCTGGCTGTGCCTGGACTGACCTATTATGTGAGGCTAATTGATAAATATCAAATATACTGTAAGTTTATGGAGCATTATATGAAAGAGTGTAAACAAGCTAAAAAGTTAAGTTTAGGTGATTTTCAATGTTTT